TCTAAGATGAACCAGATAATTAGAAACATGGTGTATTCTAGCCATCCTTAGAGTGGAGAAATGTGGTATAACTATGTGTTCATTATTCTTTGGCTTCTAATGATAAATATTTTTCGTATTTATAAAAAAATATTATTTAGGGGAGAAGAAGAAGAATGGGGATGAACACCTTGTCAATAAGGATTTAGAAACTTTGATTCTTCCCTGTTCTTATGTAGCAACACACTCTGTATGCTCATTAATAACCTAAGACAGACCCAATATGCATCTTAGACGTAGAAGTAGACTATGGCTATTAATTTCACTTGGAACATTGTTAATTCTTGTTGTTTATGCTAGAAGAACCAATAAAGATGCCTATATCCAATTCTCCCCGGAGAACTCAACCAATGAAGGTGACCAAGATAGAAATGACATATTGGATGATCCTTTGGTTCAGTATTTACAACAGAAATCTTCTATCAAAGATGATAGAGGTATTGATGCACATTCATCAGTCTATGATCAGATTTTCCAATCTCATAGAATTGGTTCAGTATTATTAAATTTAGATTTCCATGAAAGATGTGAACTCTATTTCAAGAATTTACAAATACGCAATCCTGAGTGGAAATTGGATCCAGATGCCGAGATTCCATATCAGGATGGTGATAGATTATTATATAACTATGAAGCATTCAAAGAAGAAGCAATAAATGATCTAATTTCTGAGTTTTCAAGGGCTAATGAGATTCCAAAACATGAAATTTCAGAAGAGTTGCCCCAATTTGAACAATTTGTAAGATTTCAATTTAATGCCAACTGGAATGGTCTTATGAATATTGAACAACGAGTGACTGATTATATTTCAACTTTAAGGGTATTCAACAAGTGCTATCTTCCTTCTGACAAACAACAATCTCAAAGGAAATTCATCAGAAAGCAAAAGAAACTTATAAATCTCGGGAGTATTCCGAGTTTTCAACAAAATGAACAAGAGGCTACAATTGAGGAAACCAATTGTCAAAAATTAGAGGCAAGAGTCTACCCATGGTTATCGCGTCAATATCCAACATATACCAGATGGTCAGGAGAATCATTCACAGATCCTGAAAAAGTGCACTCGTACTTAACATCTGAGAAATATAACCCATTAGGACAAGAATCATGCTTCCTTGCCCAGTTGAAACATTCCTACTTGGGAAAAGGTCTAGTTGCAACCATTTCTGATAAGCACGTAGATGATATGGTAAGACTCATACATAATCTCCGAGCATTAAATAACAAACTTCCAATTCAAATTGTCTATTATGAATCCCTTTCCCAAGAATCCAAACAGAAGATTATTCAAGCTGCTCAATCAACATTTACAAACTTACCTAAATCTTTCGACAAAGTTGCCAAATATTTCCCAAGTGATTATGGCAAACAGGAGGGAGGATTACAAAAACAAGAAATCTGGTTTGTGAATGCCGATACCGCATTAGTTGATAAATATAAGAATAAGTTCAAAGGGTTTGGAAATAAATTCCTTGCATTATTGTTTAGTACTTTCAAGGAAACCATCTTACTTGATGCAGACGCGGTATTATTTCAACCCCCTGAATCCTTCTTCAAACTTAAAGGATATAAGAAAACAGGAACTTATTTCTTCAAAGACAGGGGTGCTGGTCCAGGACGTCCATTGTCGGATAGGAAGTTCTTTAAGAAGTTAAGTCCGTCAATTATTGATTCCCTAATGTTTGATATCCCGATCATGACAAACAAGACATTAAATAGTAGATTCTTCCATGGATTTGAACATAACATGGAAGCGGGATTAGTTGTAATGGACAAGTATAAACATTTTGATTCGATGCTTATGATGCATCAATTTCAAATATTAGAACCAACAAGAAATAGAGTATATGGAGATAAAGAAATCTTCTGGTTAGCCATGTCTGCGAATGGAGTTGAAGATTATACCCTTAATAAATATTTCGCCGCCGCAGTAGGAGAAGTCACTGATACACAATATTGGTCGAAACCAGACGGAAGCAAACCGAAAGCAATACAAGTATGTTCATCTCATCCTGGTCATATAAATGGTGAAGATGGAAAGACATTACTTTGGATTAATTCAGGAATGGAAGTTTGTAAATATCATAGTGTATTAGATTATGATGCTGAGATGCCATATATTAAGGATGAATATCATTTCTCTCCTGAGAGTTTAAGAGAGATATATAAATCACCATTAGTCATAGATTCAGCAGTCATACCTCCAGAATACGCCGAGCGTAGGACAAACATAGAAAATGAACCTGAATTTACTTGGGACCCAGAAGGTCCTTATTATTGTAGTGGATGTATTTGGTGTGCATATTCTCAGATTGGTGGTTTACAAGCTGATGGAAGTGATAATACCTTAAAAGGTAGATTTATAAAGTTTGATAAGAAACAGAGAGATTTGTTTAAATATTATGGTGATATATGGACGGGATCTGATTGAATCAAGTGTCATTTGAAATTAGTTAAATAGTCTATAAAGAACCACTATGTATATTCATCAAGTTTGATTTCATTTGTTACGTATTAACATCTTTGCATACTGCTTTTTTGCGTCATCATTATCAAACTCGATAGCAATGTCGTCATCATCACTATCATCGTCTAAAGGTACCATATTGTGTTTATTTCTTTTACGAATCAATGGAGGAAATGTTGCATCCAATGTATTTGTATAATTCGTAGTGCTCAATGGTTGACTAGAAACATTCTTTTCATATTCTTTCAAATGCATTAAATTCTCCTTCCATTTCTTAGTCTTGGATTGCTTATCTTCTTTAGAAGAGGATAAAGATCTCGATTTGGATGTCTCTAGACTGATTTCATACAATTCTTGAAGACGCGAAACCTCCTTCTTTTTTCTAGATGGACTTGTTTTACCATTATCAGGTTTCGAAGTTGGATCAAACCCAATTTGTGAAATCATCGACCCGGAAAATCCATGCTCTTTTGTCTTTTCAGCTTCAAGCACTTTCGATAATGGTTTCTTGGTCTTTATTAGATTGAGTCTATCTATAAGTGAACTTGAAGGTAAATTCGAGAGTTTCTTCTCAAGTTTTTCATTGGCTCGTTCATCAAGTAATTTCCTTCTCTTGACTTGGGTTTGAAGTAATTTTGGATCTTGAAATTTTTGGAAATCAGGAGTTGATCCTCCCATTGTGGTTATTGTGGTATCTTCATTCAATTGTCTTATATATCCTGTACCCGCCTTTGAACCCATATACATTTTTTGCTTAGTTTTTTGTGGTGATCTCATTTGAATGCTTCCATTTAATTCCATTCTTGTACTTGATTTAAATTTCATATCGAGATGAAGATCACATAATTCGGCATTTCTGGGATTGATCACATTTGTACAGCGGATATTGTTTTGACGATTGGTGTGTTTACAATAACCAAAGTCTCGAATTGCTCCGATTTCAAGAATACTGGTTATGTTTGTATCATCTATTTTCAAATTAAATCCGGTTTTGGTGACATTTGATTCAAAATTAAGTTCATATTTACTGATTATGGGGTTTAATACCATAATTAGATCACCGGGTTGAACCTTATGATTTTTCTCAACTGCCCCACCAAACAACATTAAATCAACTGAATATTGGAAATTACCAACTTTCAATTTACAATATTTATTATTAGTTTTATTAGCAATCTTAACTTCTGATTTATTTAATACAAATCCAACCAAACACCAATTGGTATACATTGGTTCACAATAATTATTTGATTTATTAACTTTTGCCAAAAGTTTATCAATTTTAAGAAACTTCAAATCAGGATCAGTTTCTTTTATGATTCTTTTAAATTGATCTTTTGTTAAGTATCGTTTACGTAAATATTGTTTTGTAATTGGTTCTAAATCATTGGTGACATCTATTGGTTGGAATTGATAATCAGTAAGATTGAATTCAAATCTTCTCTTATCATAATCTATCAGTTGAGCAGATCTTGCATTTGATTGAAAGCTAACATCATAAAGTTTATTAAGGAAATTATTGGCAGCCTTTTCCGATGGTTTAGGTTTAGTTTCTCTTTGGTTTATAGGTGGAATATATACACTTTTCTTTTGTTGAATCTTGTGCCTCCTGTCTGGTGACGGTGACCTGGGTATTATTGCTTTCGGCACTGGCACTGGAGCTGGAGATGGAGATGGAGACCCAGACACTTCCCTTGTCTGTTGTTGAAGTTTAAGCTGCTTTTCCTTACGAGCTTTCTTCTTTTGTTTAATCGCATCATATTTAGCTTGGAATTCTTTCATCAAATCTTTATATTCATCAGAAGAATCTTCTGTTAACAAATCATCTGAATGTTCATTGTGCAATTCCCTTGGATCTTCCATATCATTCATACTTAACAAATCATCTCATTACAAATACAAGATACAATTTGATGGATTAGACGCGTCTTATTTTTAAATACACTGATTGTTGTTACAAAATAAAATTTCCATTGTCACAGAATTTCTATTGTCGCGACACAGATGAAAAGGTGAAGTAAATTAGTGGTGAAAAAAATATCAACGTCACCACTTTCCAGGCATCCAGTAAGGGACACCTTAGAGACCAACCATTTGTACATACGGAAGAAGCCAATGCCTCGAGGAAGAAGTAATACGATAGTCGCAAAGATTGCCAGTGATGTCCCCAGTTTTATGGAGGATCACTTGGATTTAGGAGAATATGATACAACCAAACAGATCCCAATACCCAGTAGTCCAAAGACAAGAAGATCAAGAGCTATGTCAGATTCACAATTGATTAGGATAGAACAATCTCCAATGATCACTGATGCTAAGCTATTAATTCCATTGACTGGTCAAGAGGTTAACACTATCTGGTCTAAATATACTGAATCTTATGATTATGATAGTGTATTAAAACCACAAGATATTACCAGTATCAATAATTTACAATTAGATAAAGTATTGAATTTCAAAAACAACATCAAAAGGAACAAAGTTCAAATTGATAAGTTTATTATCGAGACCAATGATCTTTTGGAAGACATTGATACTTTAATGATGAAATATAATCAAATCTCCAATGAAACCCTTGATTTTGATAAAGAAGCTAATGAATTATTAGAACAACAAGTTTCATATATCAATAAATATGAACAAATTAATCAATACCTTAAACATTTCGAACATCTAGATCTGATAACTAAACATCTATCACGTTCTGGTAGTCATTTATTACATCAAAAGAGAGAACAATTAACCAATGAAATCTTAAAACAATTAGATGATTCACTTGAATTCATTGAAGAACATCCGAATTTTAAAGAATCAGAAATATATGGGGCTAGATTTAGACAATGTATGACAAGAGCTTTAACATTAATTAGGAATTATCTTTCTTCTGGGGAATTGAAATCTTTGGCAGATTCAATTGATAGAAAATTACAAGAAGGTCTTAAAGATGAAACTAAAAAGAATTTAACTATTGATTTATTGATTTATAATGAATTCAATAATTATTTAAAAGTCAATGATAATTTATTTAATGATTTGGTGAATGAGATTCTGATTAGAGCTGCCAATCATGAAGAATATAATGGATTACTTAATGATGTTCTTGGGACATATTTCAACATTAGACTGTCATTATTACGGACATATATTTCCAAGAATTCAACTATAGACAGTTTCTATCGAAAGACAGATCATGATTTAGTTCAATCATGTCAAGATCAAATTTCATATTTTAAAAAGATTATTGAAAAGGAATATACTTTATTTCTTCGATTCTTTATACCTGAAAATGGAGAAATTCCTGAGTTTGTCAGTAATCAATTCTATGGATTTTTAAGAAATATATTAGAACCTCTATATGATGGAGTTAGGTTACTTGTTTTAAGAGAACAGAATATATCTAATTTATGTCAATTAACCACATTGTTACAGAAATATTATGAATTTGAATATGATAATAATGAATCAATTCTTGATAATAGTAGTTATTATGCTCAAACTGAAGAAATCAAATACGGAGATTTATTTCAATCAATTTTAGAAGATACTCAAGATAGATTAATATTTAGAATTCAGAAATATGTTGATGATAAATTAATGAATTATAAACCAAAACCTGAAGATTTAAAGATTGGAAATAGAAAGAAATCATCACTTCCACCAAATGAAAGGACTGAAATAAATATTCTTGATATTGATTATCCTGAGAACTTATTCCCTCATGTTTATTTACCTTTGGGAAAGACATTAACTTTATTATCTAATATCTATGAATTAATTAATTCGGTAGTTTTTGATGATTTGGCTCATTATATTGTTCATTCATGTATTGAATTATTAAAAGGGGAATTCACAAAACTTGCAATTGCTCATATGGGTAAGCTTGATGCCAAATTAGCCTATCTAAACAATTTAATTGTATTAAGAAGTCAAATTAACAATTTTGATATTCAATATACAAGATCAGATTATTCAATTGATTTTATAAGTGGTTTAAGTGATATTTGGAAAATGATAAAAACTAGAAGTTTTAGTTTTAATAATAATGGATTATTGGAATTAGCTAAAAAGACAGTCCCTAAAATTATTAATAATATGATTGATGCCAATCAAGAAATGGAATTAGAATTAAACAATGCTGTAACTGATTTCCTTACAGAATGTTCAAATGTTGTATGTGAACCAATACTCCCAAAGACAGTATCAAAGACATCATCTCCAAGAGACACTACATCAATATTTAAGGATAATTTATTAATGAAGATTCCTATTTATTATAATCAAATCAAAATTATAATTGATGATCCAGCAGTTACAAAATTCTTAATGAATAATTTATCAAATATAATTCTTCTAAGTTATGAAAATTATCATAAATCATTAGTTGATAATATCTCATCAATGGATGATAAAATCAGGGAAGAAATGAGTGATGTAATGGAAGTTGATGCAATGTATGGATTCATTAATGATATAATGACACATATGTATGAAGAAGATGAATCGATTGAAAGCAAACCACAATTCAATGAGGATATTTTGAATGATTTGGATATTAGGGATTCTACAGATGCAGATAGATTGGAATCCAATAGTCCTATGACCAAGCAACAACCACTAATTGCGACATCACCTTCTCCGGGTACACCTATCCCTGGTACACATCTCCCTGGTTCATCTATAGTTGAACGAACCCAATTTGATACTTCATCTCAAAATGATACATAGTGGTATATATAGCTTACTCTTCATCAAATGGATTATAGATATTCTTTGATAATAATTTATTTAATTCATTCTTAACTACCGTAACTTTATCATGTTGAATTAATAAATGGCGTTCATCTAATTCTTCTAATACAATTCCTGGATACGTAGAATCTATTTGTAATATTAATGCTCTTATTGATGGATCACACAGAACTAATACTCCTTTGCTGGCAACTAACATTTTCAACCTTGTCTCTCTTTTACAACAGTAACAACAAGAAGAAGAAGAAGTAGAAGAAGAAGAAGAAGAAGACGAAGAAGAATTGAAAAATTTATGAGTGGTTTCGATATTGATGAAAGATACACGACTTTTCTGCATATGGTAGCACCAGAAAAAAACGATTAAACGGAATTCTTATTTAGTTAAAGCAATTTAAGATTACTCCATATTATTTTTACAACCAATAGATCTGCTACCCAATTATTAAATTCAATAGAGAATCAGATGCCTGAAGAGAATGGCATAAATAATCTGGTTGATGACGGTCATACTGTTGCCAATGGGGATTTACACGAAAAGACAACAGTCATATCAAGTGACGATGAAGAACAAGACCAACAAGAACAAGACAACAATACAACCTTAGATTCTGTCGATGTGCAACCAACAACCGAAACAACATTTGACGAAACCAGCGACAGCAGCAGTGATGATAACGGCGATGACTCACAAGACGAAGTTGACTCAGAAGACGAAGATGAAGACGAGCCACCAAAACTCAAATATACCCGATTGAACAAACTCCCACCCAATTTCCTCACCAAAGACCCCATATCCACCGCAACTTTCCATGAATCATATTTCATCTTTGCAACCCATTCCGGAATAATCCATATCTGTACCCACACCTTCGAGCCCATCCGAACCTTCAAAGCCCACCGAGCATCCGTATTATGCATCTATACCGACGGGACCTATTTCGCAACCGCTTCAATGGACGGCACGGTCGTAATTGGTTCTATCAAGGATGAAAAAGATATCGTAGCCTATGATTTCCAGCGACCCGTGCATGCAGTTGTGTTAGATGCGAATTATAGCAAGACGAGGAATTTCATTAGTGGAGGGATGAGTGGGCAGGTTGTATATTCTAGTAAAGGCTGGTTGGGGAAGCGATCAGATACGATCTTGGATCAAGGAGGAAATGGTCCTATTGTGAGTATACAACTTGTGGATGATGATTTGTTGTTTTGGATGAATGATAAGGGGATAAATGTGTTTTATTTACCTACTAGACTGATTATTTCAGTGTTTGAAAAACCGGAGGATTCACCTCGGAGTGATTTATATTGGCCACGAGCGAGTCGTCCTGATCTGAATCGGTTGTTGATTGCTTGGGGGAATTATATTTGGTCACTTAAGATTTCGATTAAAGTTCCGAATCCTGATACCGATAAACCAGCGGAATCATCACGAATGAGTAAGATTTTACCGTCGACTGCAAGTATTACCTTTCGACCCGTACAAGAGAAAGAAGTTGAGATTGAACATATATTCAAAGTAGATAGTTTAATATGTGGAATTGCCAGTTTTACCGATGATTTATGGATGATTATGACCTATGAACCACCCACCATCCATTCTGAAACCCATGAACGAACCTATCATAATCCAGAATTAAAATTAATAAATTCAATTAATGGAGAAGTTGAATTTGAAGAAGAATTAGGACTTCGTGATATTGCTAATTTAGGATTGAATGATTTTTTATTGGGGTCATATATTTCAGATATACCACAATATTATATAATTAGTGCCAAAGATGGAGTAATTGCTCAAGAATTTCAAATGAATGATAGATTGAAATGGTATTTGGATCGTGAACAATATTTACAAGCTTGGGAAATTAGTGAACATTTGGTTCTGCCGATGAAGAGATTATATTATGGGATTCAATATGTGGATAGTTTGATTAAGGATGATGAATGGGATATTGCTTCTGAGTTTTTGTGTAAACTTTTGAATGTGGCTGGTTTTCAAGTGGATAATCATAGTTTAACCCAGTCGAGTAAGGTGAGTAGCGAAGATGAGAATGATGTGCTGTTGTTAAAGGAGATTATAAAGCAATGGGAAACTTGGGCGGTGATATTTCTAAAGAGTGGACATATTAAGGAATTAACTGATATTATTCCACTTTCTCCTGAGATTGGATTACCTAGGGTGATATATAATGATATTCTTAATTATTGGTTATTGAATGATGTACAAGTTTTCTCGGACTTGATCCAGAATTGGGACCAAGAATTATATGATGTTTCAAGCATAGAATCAAAATTGGAAGATACTATAAATGAGGCCGAAGAAAAGGATGATAATGACGATAATACAGATGTGGATATATTAACTCGAGTCCTTATTTCATTATATGACGAAACCATGGATTCAATCAAAGCCGTACCCCATTTAATCCACCTCAAAGATCCAAATATAATCACCTACCTATCCAAAAACCACATCCTAGTCAATTTCATCCATGACCTTCCGGAAATGATTCAGCTCAGATTTCAATCTCAAGAATTACAAACCATGTCAATTGACAAGCTAGAATCAAAACTAGATGATATAATTTCCATATTTGTGAAACATCGATTAGAAATCCCTCCAAAACAAATCATTGAAACATTTTCAATTGAATCCGATTTATCATTCATTAGTTTCTTTTATTTAGAAAAATTAGATATGATTGATAATTATCTTTCTGAAGGGTTTGGAAATGAACGTATTCAATTATATGCCCAATATCGTCGAGAGAAACTTCGACCATTCCTCATGAAATCCACCAATAACAATGATTATAATATCGACGAAGCGATTGAAATATGTGAGAGAATGGAATATATTGAAGAATTAGTTTATTTATTAGGAAAAATCGGTGAGAATAAAAAAGCCCTCGAACTAATAGTACAACGATTAGATGATCCCATAATGGCGATTGAGTTCGCCAAACATCAGAATGATCGAGAAGCTTGGGGGATCTTGTTGGATTATTCAATTGAGAAACCAAGGTTTATAAAAGCGTTAATTGAGAATTCGGATGAGAGTTCAAATATGTATTATGATCCAATTACGATCCTAAAACGAATGCCTAAGGATATGAAAGTTGATGGATTGAATAAGAGTGTGATTGAATTTTCTAAGAATAATGATTTGAATATGATACTTAATCAGATTATTTTGAAGATTATCTATATGAAATCGGAAGAGACATCTAAATCTTATAAATTACAGAAATTAAAGGGGGTTGAGGTTGAGATGGATAGATTGGAATTACAGGAATTGATTCAGCTGTTTGAAACTATAGTTGTGTTACAGGAGAAAGAGAATGATGTTAAATTGATTCAAGAGTGTGAAATAACTACTGATTGTGATAATAGTTCATTTATTAATTTGAGAAAGAAATTGAATCATTTGAAAGATTTAAAGAGGAAGTTATTACCTTAGCATTAAATCAGCGGGAGTATTTCAATAGATATACCATATTACTTCTAAGAACATCTCTTAATATGAATTATTAAATTGCTATAAATAAAAATGATAGATTATTTATTTAATTTTTTTGCATCCATAGTTTTAGTGAGGTCTTTTTTTTGCGGCAGTTTATTTGCTGCAAAAACAAATTGTAAAATTTGTACAATCAACTTTCTCTCTCTATTTATATTACATCTTGTAAATAACTCAAATATTAATCTACCAATTAAGTGTTCAATATAACAATATACACACACATATACATATAGAGATATCCATTATGTCAAGCAAGTTTAAGACAGTAAGTTATCAAGATGAAAATCAATATAAAAACTTCAAATNTATGTCAAGCAAGTTTAAGACAGTAAGTTATCAAGATGAAAATCAATATAAAAACTTCAAATTAAATTCAATTGAAATACCCGCTACTCCAGCCGCCAATGCAATTAAATTATTTAGAAAACAACAACAGCAACAGCAACACCAACAAGTGAACAAACCACTCAATTTAAGAAGAAAGATATCACATAGATTCAAAGAAGAGTTTGACTTATCATCTTCTAATAATAGTAGTGACAAGAGTTCCAATTTTATGGATGAAGAAAATGATGCTACTTTGATCTACGAAATTATTAATGAATATTTAGCACCCATTAACAGCGCATCAACTACAACTACAACAAGCAAATCAAATAAACCAACAGATGAAATTAAACAAATTCATGAGAATAGAATTCCAAATCAAATTGATCAACAACAACAAGAAAACCAATCTGCTAAATTTGCTTCATTACATAAAGGATATCATAAATATTTCGGTACACATTTCCTTTCATCTTCTTCACAACCATCAATACTAAATAGTGGAGTTGGTGGTATTAGTGGTGATGAGAATAGTTCTAGTGGGTTCAAATACCAATCATTACCAATTGAAGAACAAGGTTTAGTTGGTATCAAGCCAGCTAAATGGAGAAAAGTACGTCAAAAGATTCATGGGAAATTATTTCATAGTCTGAAGAGATCAATTCAACAAGATAATAATAATCATGTTAGTCATGTGCATGAGATTCCTGAAAGTCTTGCTGATTTATTTACTGATGATGATGAGATTGATAATAATATTACTCACCTTATAACACCATCGCCTAAGAAGGTACGTATGAGTACAGAACCAGATTTAGAGTCACCTTCCAGAAAGAGTCATAATATGAAGAAGAGGAAGCAAAAGAAGAAGAAGAGGGATAAGAAGAATAAACAAAATGAAGAGAATGAAGAAATGGTATCTTTCAAAGAATCACCTCGTAGATCATTAAGTAGAAGAATGAGTGTATTTGTTAGAAAGACTCCTCCTAATAATTATTCCTAGCTTTGCCTATTTATATATATTTAACTATCTAGTCCAATTGAAAGGATTCATCTTGGAAAACATCGAACCAGTTGCTCTTGAAAATACATCATTAGCAAATTTATTTGCTTTACCAAATTTATCACATTTTGTAAATGCAAATGCATTTGTTAACGATAAAGAAATTGCAATTCCAATTAATAATAAATATAAAAATTGAAATTTCAATAATGCCAATAATCCAAAGATAATCCAAACAATTGGTTGAATATATAATAATAACCAAAATACTTTTGAATCAATTGGATTAATATATTTATTAGGATCAGCAGTTTCAAATACCCAAACATTCTCAAATTCTCCAGTATTGGTGTCTATAGGATTAGTTTCATTCCACCATCTTAATCCAACTAACAATCTTCCACTAATATTCTTAAGATTCCAAAAATCCATGGAAATTAATAATATCAATATAATGAAATGTAATATAAATTGATTAGTGGTTGTTATAAATCCAATAAACCAATTACCAAATATATAAATAAATATTGGTAATAATCGAAATGTCATATAAAATAATAATGCAATTGGATGTGACGATTGTCTTAATCTTTCTATTAATGACTCTGGTATGTTACTCTGTTCTTGTGTTGTTGTAGGAGGTGGTACTGGTGTATGTATTGTACCAGTTGGAAGTGGTGGCTGTGGTTGTACAGGAGGTGATTGTGATTGAGTATAAGATGGTGGTGGTGGTCTATCAGAATTCAATGGTTCATCTGCTTCAATTGATGTATAATTGTTACTCATTTCTTTTTATATATATTCTTTAGTTGACTTTAGCAGTATCTTATAGATATAAATATCAGAGGTGTAAAATATGAATTTATAAGTTGACTTGAAGAATTTGGCTGTTGTCTTTTTTTTCATTCTTTCGGTATTAAATAAAATTGGTAGCTCCAACTTTCAGCAATTGGTAGCTCCATTGCTCGATAATTGGTAGCACCTACAGTTAACTCACCGAACAAAGAAAGGGATCGAAAGAAAAAAAAATTATTTCAATCCTTTTTTAATAAGCAAAAAGTGCAAAGTCCGCTTAAAGAAGGAAGAGAAAAATCAACTGATTTAATTAGCAGTACTATTAATATACGAAAGACTAAAATACACAACAGACAATGAATTTTATACGTAGAGGTATCAAGAGTATTACCAGAACACAATTAGAAACATCAAAGGTATGTCATACTTAAATCCCAATCATTCAAATGAAACAACATCAATACCACACCCCGAACAATATACTAACTTATCACTTTTAGTTCGGTTTCTATTTATTAACCCCAATCGCCATCATGTATTGGGTTGGTTTGGATACAGATAGGAAATTCAATTTACCTGGTTTTTGGCCCGATCCATCCACCTTAAATCAAGTTCCTAAAGAACCTCATGAAATTCAAGCAGAATTGGCCAGAATTAAACGGGCAAGACTTGAAAAGAGAAAGAGATTGGAAGAAAAAGCTAAAGAATTGGGACTTCTAGAAGAAAAGGAAAAAGAGGAAGAAGAAGAGAGGCAAAAACAACAGCAAGGTGGTGTTGTGGCTGAAGCTAGTACATAAACCCCACCATGTTATCCCACTTGTATATAATTTATAAAATAAAATATAAAAGTTTATCAATATAATCATAATCTATCACGCTTTATTAATATTAATAATAATCATATAAATACAAAAAGTATAATTATCTCTAAATCATATAAAATTACATAAACTTTCATTCTATTAAACTATGTTGGAGTTGAGACTATGTTGTCCCCCCTCCTGTCGAACCACCACCACCAGATGAGGGACCAAATTTCGATTGTGCCATTCCTAAATTATATTTCAATTCTTGTAAAGTATTCTCCGATAATTTAATACTATCAGACAGACTAGCCATATCAATCACTTTTGCCAACATATTCATAACCTCAAAATCGTTAACACTTCCGCCAGTAGGTGTACCACTCCCACTCCCACCACTGGTCCCAGGAACCACTCCTCCTATTAATCCACCTATTTGAGGCATATTACCAGTTGTGGTGGTGGGAAATCCCATATGCCCAACTGACGGACTCTGAAATGACGATGATGCTGTTGGAGGTTTTGGAAATCCTCCAATTGGTGATCGAACACTATTAGTCAACCCACCATACATACCACCAGAACTACTAGTCCCAATGGCAGACTCAGAGGCGGTCATATGTAATCTCGATTGTTGTTGTATATGTTGTTGTTGTTGTAACACGGAAGTTGGAGGCGGTGGTAATGTCGGATATTCATAACTCATCGAACTCAGTAATGCTTGTCCACCACTCCGTCTTCTCTTAGTATCCCATGGATTTGGATCGATATTATTGGGGAGAGATTTATGTTTGGTTGATAGTCTTATCAGACTTTCATTTGAAGGATATTGCATCGGACTTGGACCGGAAATCACTGATGTCGGTGGTGGTGGTGGGAGTGGGATCATTGGAGGACTGGTGGATGGAAATCTGGATGACAAAACCGGTGGTGTAATCTGAATTGGAGGAATTGATGAAGATGAAGATTCCAAATCAGGCCCACCTCCGCCTAATCGAACCACAGACGATGCCGAAGTAGGAAGAAGACTTTCAGCACTTTGAGAAGTTGTCAGTAGCACACTTGGAGGATCTGATATTTTTGAATTCGATGAATCTTCCATTGAAGAAGTTGTAGAAGGATGATCCTCAACCACAACTTCCGACAAGGGGAACTCGAATCCCGATGACTTCGTATTAAAAAACAACGCATTATCAGTAGTGGCGGCACTAGCACTATCATTCATATTATACCATTGATTCTCATCACTCCCTCCTCCTCCTGCCAAACTCTCATCCACATCACTCATCCCCCCTTCTTTCTTCCCATCATATGACTCCAGTAAACAACTCCCAATAATCTCTTCAATACTAGCATAACTCAACGTCACTTTTCCTCTCTCATTAACCAATCCCAACAATTCATCAATCTCCCAAGGAATGACAACATTCAAATATCCCATAATCTCAGCTAGTTTGTTATAACTCTTATTAGGATCATACACATCTCTTAATCTAATTTGTAATGGATCTAAAGTCATACTTGCAATCTGTCGAGTTTGATCACTGGGCCAATCCTGGCCGGTTAATTTGAATAAATGGGTTTTTTTCCAGGAGGAGAAGATTCTCTCTTGGGTGATGGAATGCCAGGATCGGGTTATCCATTCAATGACTCGGATTATGGGGATATGATAGTCTTCTTCGGATAATACTTCTAGTCCGTTGATATTGGAAGAGAGAGTGGTGGCAGTGGCGGTGGTGGACATGGTGTTTAGATCCATTTGACTGCCTGGAGTGGTTGCTGTTGTCATCGGGTTGGAATTATCATCTTGTTGGGGACTACTATTGGTGGTGCTAGATTTACCGGTTGTGTTGGTTGTGGTGGTTGGTTTCGAGTTGTTCCGTTGTAGATTTATCATTTCTAAATATTGTTGTAATCGATACAAAATCTTAAATTCTTCAATTATACCAAAATTCATCGGTAAATAATCAAATTTAACTCCACTATAAGTTGTATTATAAGGATTTTTATGATTGGCATCATTTTTCAAATAACATAGTCGTATATTGGTAAACTTTAAATTAATTATTCTATGAGAAGATGAATCATCCAAAAGGATTAATATCTTTCGAGTTGGAGTTGCACTATGAATTTTATGATCTAATGTAAGTAAATAATTTTGAAACATTGAAGAAGTTATCCATTTATTGGTATTTGATTTATAAAATATTCGATATGCTTCTGTTATTTTATTCATTAATGTTTGTGGTGAAACTGCATGAGGGATAACATTCTTTAATGATTGATGTGTGGTTTTTGATATATCAAAAGTATCATATTTCCCCACTATTAATGGAGCTAATTTCTCCAGTCCATCTATATTACAACCTAACATGATAGTTAAGGAATTTTCAGTAGTTGATTTTGATTGTTTTAAACCTTTATCAATTGAAGATACATCAAATATTTGATCTAAAGGTAATGAATAAAATAATTGAAATTCATCAAGGACAAAGATATCTTGTGGACTATAATTCTCTTTTTTAATTAAATCATAAAGAAACCCTTTTAATTCTATTTTTTCATCTAATTTCCATACTTTATTTAAAGGATATTTATCATTTAATTTCATATAATCACCTTTTTTATATCCCGTTAAATCAATATTTAATCTTTTAATGAAATGACTACACCATTTTTGATTAAAGACTCCATTCCCATCTTTTTCTTCCTTGGGTAATCTAGTCCAAATTGCATTTGCAGTCAGTTGAATAATTGGAGTTGTGATAGGGATATTTTCCCAGATGGCTTGAGTTATCCATTCAGTTAAAATCCTTCTTAATAACGGATTTGTTTGTTTTCTTCGTCTAACTAATTGAAAATCAGTTTCTTTGGATGCAATTAAATCATTTTTTGAATTTAAAATTCGGGAAATTGTAGTTTGTGATGGAGGTTTCTTGGTTCCATATTCTGTCATGACCCAATTTGCAAGGTCAATTTGAGTCATATGAGGATTAGCCTCTGCTTTTAGACAAATATCAATCTTTTGTTTTATTGTATATCCCATGGTTGGTTACAGTAGCATTATTAAGTATGATATCTCAAAGAAAGGTCTAACGAATGATGAATAATGTAAAGAAATAGCGAATGGAATGATTAGATTGAAAATGGCAACCGTTCTGGAAAACTTTTGGCAATGAAATGGAAAATGCCGTTTTGTTACAAGGGGGGACTATTATTATTTCTGAAAAGTGAAAGGAGGTTGCCTAATAAAGAACTAAAATCCGTTTAATTAATGTTTTCTATAAAATAATATTTTTTCAAGAAGCTTTTGATGATGACTTCTTCTTCTTCTTTGAATGTGATTGATTGATGGATGAGTTAAATGAAATAGAAATTTTGGCAACACTAATTTTTTTATTTACTTAAATTTTAAAATAAAAAAATATTTTTTTTCTTCTTCAGTTTTGTCAGCCATCAACTGAGTCATCGCACATTTACAGTTAATTAACGGCGTAATTAATTTGAGTCAAAAAGAGAATCTCAATATACTTTAAGGGGGAAGTCAATTATACAAAACAAAAATAATTGGCTGACTGAGAAGGAGAAATATAACTGCAATATTGAACGCCTATAAAATAAGCTGAAGATGTAGGAAACTCTTGACGAGTGGCAATAATTCCAATATAATTTCCAAAGACACCAAATGTTAATCAAGAAAAATAAATTGGTTTCTTTCTGATAGTCATTCGTTTTTGCTGCAAATAAATTTTATTTTAAATTTGAATTCCAAAAATCCCTTAATTCATTCATAATTTTAATCAATTAGGATAATTATTTAATTAACTTATATTATTTATTATTATTTATTATGTCAATTATTATGGAGATACAGTATACAAACTTATAAAATACTCACTACTTGGAGAATGATCTACGAGATCTAACTGAAATTCTATTGTCTTCTCTAGTAAATTGTAGTATAGCTTGCAATTAACTATGAGAATTTAAGAATTCAAGACAAATATCAAGAGTTTTATTAAATAATTCTTCTCTTTCAATAAATAAAGAATGTTGAGCATCTTCAATCGGTTGTAATTTCTTATCAACAACTTCGGGAATATTATCAAATACTTTTGCACTACCTTGATAATCATTAATCTTATCAATTGGACTATGAACAATTAATAAGGCAATCTTATCACTAAACTTACTGGCATATTCTTTCTTTAATAACGCTTCTCCTCTAGCAAACATATCATGGAATTGTCTAACAGTACCAATCAATTTATCACTACTCATTAAATATTTCTTCCATTCAGGATCTGATGTAATATAATCCCATTTTAGTTTAGAATCAATCTTTAAATTTGGTACTAATTTATTAATTACAGGGGTTAAAACTCTAACAACAATATTAACTTGAGTTTCAGGATGTAATTCGATTAAAGGAGCACTAGAAATGATTCCCTTAATATGATCTTTATATTTCCCTCTAATTCCATAATTAAGTACAATAGCACCACCCATAGAATGTCCCATTAAAAAGAATTGTTCCGTTGAATCGGCATCTTTTCTAGCATCTAAATTACGTTTAATAAAATAATCTAAATCATTAAATGTATGATATTCATCGGTTTTACCAATTAAATTCCCGGGTGAAGTATCTCCAGCACCTCTTTGATCAAAAAAGAATAATTCATATCCATTTTGAGATAAATGATCACAAATTTGATAATAAATCTCGGAATGTTCTGCAAATCCATGAACACAAATAATCTTACCCTTGTAATCAATCCCTTCTGGAACTAACCAAGATACAGTTTTAAATTTAGCTCCATTATATTCGACAAATTCAATAACTGGAGTACCTTTTGGTTTATATGGAATTTCTCCTGATGTCATTTTTGATTACTTTTCTAAATCGTTATTTTCAATTGTAATTACTAAATTGAATCTATTCGAGATTTATAAGAATTTAAATAATTAGGGAATTGATACGTGATCTATAAATAGTTTAAATAAAGATTCTCCAAATCTACAGGCGGGTAATGAGGAGGCAATTCCATTTTTTTGAGTTTTTTTCATGTGTTTTTTTTTTCATTGTTTTTCGTAAATCGGCTTTTTTACTTTTATAAAAAACATGGGGAAAACAAGCAGGGGAGATCCGGAGGAAATGCACAACCCCTTGTTTCTCGTGTCTTCTTTGTACGTGAATCATTTGACAATGACTGACAATCGAAATTGCAACTCCAAGATAGCCACCTCTTTGGCTTGTTCCGATCTCATGATTCCCCGGCTTTTCCAAAAGTTTGCCACTATGTTCATTTGATTTTAAGGAAGGGGGTGGGCAGAATTATAGGAAGATAATTTCTTACGAAAGTTTATCTCCTCAAATTCCCGAAAGTATAACATTATCTCATCAATTGAAAGTTCCAGAGCCTTTTTCGTCGTCTCCATGCTTCTGTGGTTGTTTTACGTCTCAATGAAAAAAAGATAATTGACGATTCTAGTGGAACAACAATAGGGAGGCCGAATGAAGCTTAGGAACTTACAATTGATGGAGCTGCGAGAAGAATGAGAACTGGAGGCCGCCTCGTTATTAATCGATTATCACCCAATAATTTACAAAAGCCTAAAATTATTAATTGATAAAGGTTATTCTCAAGTTGCAAACTGATATCCCCAGAATAGGGATTCATAAACGGGGGCTCTTGGGTTAATAAGTAAATCATCCTTTTCAAGCTCTCAAGGGAATATCCTCGGGGATTCGTCCTTACTAGACTCATATGACTCTACCCGAATAAGCCTTAAATGAGTCTTACCACCCAGGTTGTTCAAAACAGGCTTTAAATAGTCTATTTTGTTCGATATTTGGCCAAACTTCTTGCAAAAACTTAAAACGGAAAAGATATAAAAGAAAGAAGAATTTGTCTGCATTACAATAAACATCACATGAACTTATGGATTTCGGTTTTAGAGTTTAACTAAAATAGGGTTTTCAATTACTTTTCGTATCTCATACCTAATTCTCCTAAATAGAATGCGCAAAATAGCTCAATTTTTTTTGCAGCCAATTTGGTCGATCCAAGTTCTGGATACTATATCTGTATATTGATCTATTCCAGAACGGGTTAGGTGCCTCATCCCCAATCCATCTTTTACATTTATTAATGAACAGGAGGTACATGTGGGAGAACTATAAGGTTGAAGTTTGGACAAGGATATGATACTAATGGATTTCATTGAGTTATTGAAGGTACATATTATGCAATTACATATACTGGAAACACTGATGAACGGAGATGTCTCCATTGTTCCCATTGCCCTGCATTGCCTCCAATTCTAGTGGCAGGAGTATATATATTACCTTGAGAGCAAGATACGGTGTCAGCGCAATCTTATTATTACCGCGCTCGCGAGGTTGCTCCTATGGGTACCAAAATAGAAAGTCAGTCAGCTGGTACGGAAGCCCGTTTCGTCCGGACTGTATACAGTCTCATTCGTTAGTAACGATAGAGAAGAGTTGGCAAGCTCTAGATTCGTTGCCTGTTTGTCTGTATTTTAGATTTTGTTTCGGACATACCTTCAACCTTATGTATTCTTCCGAGTATAGCTTGGCTTCCGAATTAACCAAATCAAGAATATAATTAGCAACAACTTCAAATGAATACATTTGTACGTTGAAAATATTTTGGTAGCGCGGTGCTGTGGACTATCAAATGTCGGTATGCTTGAATCGACAAATCTTAAAGAGTCTGATAACTCCGCGTATTCGTTGGGCATTGAGTCTCTTTCAACCAAGCAAGCAGTTAGAACCAGTTTAGCGAACATTAGCATTCGAGATTGTCCGCTGCTTCTCTAATGAAGAAAATACAAGCAACTTTTACTACTCACATCAGTATGGGCTGAGTAGTAACCTCTCTCTTATAAAGTAACGTGCTTCCAATTAACATAAAAGCAATATATCCTAGATACGCTTTATCTCTTTAGCCCCTTTAATCCCCTTTAACTTATTGTTTTATTGTTACCCTTAATATATAAACAAATTAACATTGAAGAAGTAGCAATTAATGAGCTTTTTTTCTGTTTAACTAACTTAAGGGGGGAAGGGATTTTTTTTAGTGTGTTTCATAATTTTTTTTAATTCAAAGCATTTCTAACTATCAAACATTACAATTCAATCAGAGCAATACAATCTTACATGATAAACGAATCAGACACAGAATTAGCCAACAAGACATTGCTGCTACCACCAGCACCACCAAGTTCATCATCCACATCTTCATTGAATAAAATATCAGGAAGTTCATTCAATTCCCCAGCCAACCAAAATGATTCTTCTTCAACAACGCAAGATAATAATGATCCTTTTAATGGGCTATCATTTAGAGTTGGAGTAGCCGAGAATAAAAATACCATCTATAGGAATAAGATGGAGGACGTTCATACATATATAGCAAACTTTGCCGAACGGGTAGATTGGGGATATTTTGCCATTTTTGATGGACATGCTGGGAAAGATACTGCAAGATGGTGTGGAAATAATTTGCATAGTATACTAGAACAAGATATTGATGATGAACATGAAGATATGAATCCTGCACCACCGGTGGGGAAATATGATATAAGAACGAATCTTTGTCGAACGTTTGTTAAGGCTGATGAATTGATTGCGAAAGAAGGGGCCGGTTCTTCTGGATGTACGGCCGCAGTGGCGGTATTAAGATGGGAGACAGACGACGACGAAGAAGAAGAAAAAGAAGGCACCAAACAAGCAAAAGAGGGAGAAGAGAATGAGAACAAGCCAGTTGAGAATGATGAGAAAAAGAAACAGTTTGATTTTGTAAAGAAAGTAAATCATAAACGAATGTTATATACTTCAAATGTAGGAGACCTGAGAATTGTGCTAAGTCGAAGAGGAAAACCTTATCGGTTATCATATGATCATAAAGCAACAGACCTTAATGAAATGAACAGAATAAGAGATAGTGGAGGTTTGATTATGAAAAATCGTGTTAATGGTGTGTTGGCGGTCACGAGATCTTTAGGTGATTCTTATATGAAAGACTTGGTTATAGGAAAACCATTCACAACAGCAACTGAAGTAACGCCAGATGATGAATATATAATATTAGCATGTGATGGGGTATGGGATGTCATTTCAGATTCAAAAGCATGTTCATTGGTTACTGAATTGTTCTCTAAAGGATATGATGCTCATGGTGCTGCCAAAAAACTTTGTCAATTGGCTATGGATAATTCCACAACTGATAATGTAACTGTCATGATTGTTAAGTTTGATAAAGATGTGTTTAACTTATAGATCAGTCATTTATCCAATTTTTTACGTATTTACGATTAACTTTCTTTTCCATTCCTTTTACTCTTTGTATAATTAATAAACTTTTTATTACAACCATAACTTTTTCTATACAATTCTATATAAAACAATATAACCTCTTCTCTTAGATAAATTCCTCCTTTGGTTCAATAACTTCAGAATCATTCAATTGGAAGTCTTTGGCGCTGAATTTGGGTTTGTACAACTTCAACGCCAAACTACTCAAAACAACACTAATTGAAGAAAGTGCCATTGCAGCACTTGCCCATACCGGATCCAATCTTGAATTCTTATATGGGAAAATAACACCAGCAGCAATGGGAAGCCCAATCATATTATAAACCAAACTCCACCCAAAATTAAACTTAACCCGTCTAAACACAACCCTAGCAAGATCAAACAATGTCACCAAAGAAATCAATGGATGAGATTTATTCAACAATATGAAATCACTCGAAGTCACAGCCAAATCAGCCCCAGAAGAAAGAGCAACACCAACATCAGCACTAGCTAATGCTGGTGCATCATTAATCCCATCTCCAACCATGGCAATCACGGCATTTGGTTTAAGTTGTCTGATTCTTTTGATTTGTGATTCTTTTTCATCGGGAAGGACTTCACTTACGACATTCTTGATGCCGATTTCATCGGCAATGGCTTGGGCGGTGACTGAGTTGTCACCGGTTATCATCCAGCAATCGATTTGTTTTCTTTGGAGGAATTGGATTACTTGTTTGGTTTCTGGTCTGATTTCATCACGAGCTGCAACCATTAGGACTAGGTGGAATTCAGCATTGTTAAATAGTTTTTGACATTGGATGGCAATTAGGACAATTGATTTACATTCTGATTTCCATTTGGTCAAAAGGGATGTTTGTTGTTGTGATATTCCCACCTTGTAGTCTTCAAGTAATTTTTCATTTCCAAGAATCGCTTCAGTTGGTGAATATTCATTCCAAATACTTGATTCATCATTTTCTTCATATACGATCTTCCCTTTTAATCCTTTTCCAGGAATAGTTTCAACATTCGGAACCTTATTACCAGTGATCACCACACTGTCTTTCTTACGAACATAATCAGCAAATGATTTAATCGCCTTAGCCAAAGGGTGATTCGAAGAAACTTCCAAATCCCTCATAACCTGAAGTCCAATGGTCTTACTCACCAACCCCCCATCAGCACCACCACCGTTGACAAACGAATAATCAGTCACGACTAATTCCCCCTTTGTCAAAGTCCCCGTTTTATCAAAACAAACAGTATCAGTATTGGCCCCATCTTGAAAAGCACTACCACCACCTTTTGCCAATATCCCAAACCTTGCCGCCAACCCCGACCCAACAAACAATGCAGTTGGTGCCGCCAATCCGATTCCACAGGGACATGCAACCACAAACACCGCAATAGCGAATTCTAATGACCAGACTGGCCAGCCTCCAATATCGATATCTAAGTAACTCTCAGGCAATGCGCCGGAAACACCGAGTATTAACCAGATTAACCAGGTAATGATAGCTAAGAAGACAATAACGGGGACGAAATAACCAGTGATTAGGTCGGCTGTTCGTTCCATGGGTGCTTTTCTCAATTGTCCATCCCTGACGGTGTTTACTATTTGATTGAGTAAGGAGTCACTTTCTAAGCTAATGACCCGAGCAATGATTGAGTTGTTTCCGATATTAACTGTGCCTGAAAATATTTGATGACCGGGGATATGTTTGACAGGGGTTGATTCACCAGTTAGGGCAGATTCGTCAAAGTCTGAAGTGCCTTCTATTATTGTACAATCAACAGGAGGTGATTCACCGGTGGCTATTCTGATGTAGTCTCCAACTTCTAATAAATCAAGATCTACTTTTTCATCACTATGATACTTGCTATTGTAATCTTTGGTCAATAAAGTTGCTTGATTGGGTTTTAAATTAGATAATTGTGAAATTGAATCTGCGGTTTTAATCTTGGAATAACTTTGTAATAATTTCCCAATCAATAAAAAGAATGTCAAAAACACAACAGAATCAAAATATGTAGTATGAAACCCATGATGAGTCATTGGAGCTTGTTTTGCACTCAATCCGATCAATACAATACTTGCAAAATATGCAACACTAGTACCTAATGACATCAAAAGATTCATTGATCCAAATTTAAATAATCTAGTCTTGAATGAATTCTTATGCATCCATAATGATTTGATTTCTTTAATGGCCTTTCTATGAAATGTATCAGCAGCAAAGAAATAAACCGGAGTAGCTAAAATGAATAAAATCCAACTGTTTCTAGACACATTTCCGACCCATAATGGTTCTTCTACCCATATTCTAAATGGATGAGATTTGGGGAGTAGGGACATAGCAACAATACCAAAGACAAAAGTTGGGATCACGAGAAGGGTAGCGAGGATTAACCTAGCAGCTATACTTATAACTTCACGTCTCGCTAATCTCTGCAAATGTTCATCGGTTGTCATCGGTTTAACTAATTCACAAGTAAATGGACCTTCGGCATCTTCGTCAATAATATACCCTCCAGTATCGGTAGATCTAATGTGATTCAAGTCGTACAAGAACTTTCTAATGGTAATTTCCTTACTTGAAACATACGTGAATTTTATATATGGATCATTTAAAGATATTGGATCTTCAATAACAACCGCCTCTCCATAATTTGATAAATATTCAGTAATTACATCAGGACAATGATTACAAAACATTCCATTCACTTTAATATTAATTGATCTTGGTTTCTTTTTCCGAGAAGTATAATTAATCTTTTCATTCTTTAAAATAGTAAAATCAAATCCACAATTCTCAATCATTTCTTTTAATTGATCTAAATGACTCAGATCTTCGGCGGTATCTTCAAGAACAAATTGTGCAGTTTTGGTCACAACATTAACCCCACACTCTAATACAAATGGAAGCTCATTAACGGCGGATTGGATAGAGTTTGCACATGCAGCACAAGTGATTCCTCCTATGATTGCTGTAACTCTGGTATTGATAGATCTGTGAACCGGAAGGACTTCGATTAATTTACATTCAAATCCCAAGTCACCGACTGTATCAATAATTTTGTTGATTAATTGTTTGTTAGGAATAATTGCAACTATTGATTGTTGGATTAAATCTACTGAAAAATTAGGCTCGTCGGTACTAGGAGAGCCGTTGTCGCCTAATACTGCTTTCAATGCCTCATTGACACTTTGGGAACATGAAGAACATGTCATTCCACTTACCAAGAAAGATGCTCTGAATTCTTCATGAGGGATTTCGACAATTGTTTCTTCGCTTGAATTGGTAATGGAAGATTCTTCGATGACTTTCTTTCCTGATTTCGCTTGACAAACTTGACAATATTTTAAATGATTCTTTTCGGATTTGGAGGTTGAAAATTTTTGGAATAATCCCACAATATCAAAAAATCCATCATGTTCATTCTGCTGTTCAGTTATATCCATTTCAATTACTTGAGAATTCAGAATAATTTCATCTCCTTTGAGGATTTCCCATGATAATATATTAAAGCCAGCTTTTTCAAATTGTTTTAGCAACAGTTTGGAATATGATTGGAAATTGAGCTTGTTATTGCCAATTAACTTGACTTCGTTGCCGTTGAGATTGAAGATGATTTCTTTGTTGTTTAATTGATTTGCTTGTTCTGATTGGCTGGTTGACTCGTTGTTTTCAACTACATGAAAGGAATAACCAAGTACTCTTCTAATTGCTAATTCACATTTCTCACAATGAATATTTGAGAAATTAATTATAAATGAATTCATTTTTGCTTATTTGTTAGTGATTGGTAATAATAGTTAGAAAAATGAGTTTTTATAAATCAGACATTCTCTAATTGATTTTATATAACAAATTTGAGATATTAGTGCTATTGAATGATGATAAATGATGATTCTTCCAATTGCTGCGAAGAAAGAAATGTGTGTTGCCAAAAAAACCGAATCGGCGAAAATATCTCACGATGAGAATTATTTTATTTTATTTTATTTATTGCGGTTATTTAGCCCTTCTGCGGCTGATGATGTCATTTCACTAAATATAGAATTACGTATAACTAGGTACGTTCTATGGAATTCTATCTATATTGATTCAATAAAATGGGATAATTGTAGGGACAAACATTCCACAAAATACCTTCTATGGAATTCTATCTATATTGATTCAATAAATGGGATAATTGTAGGGACAAACATACCACAAAATAATCCAACTATTTTCTCTGGAATTGTATGAAAGAATATTGAAGTTATTAAAAACAGACAATACCAGAAGAATATAAACATCAATACTATACCAATGATACCTAACCTCAAAGGACTATCTATAATTGCATTTTCCCCTGTAGATGAATGTGAAATTCTAGGATATGTGTTTTCTAAATCTATTTCTATAACTGGTGGTAACGTTTCTGTCCATAATCTGTGAGGAAAGGCTAAATATTTAACTAATAGATACCATACTAAGAGACTACTTGAAATTAAAAAAGTATAATGACTCGAAGAATCGAATGGATTGATCCATTCACCGCCTGCGGCTTCACAAGGATACTCTCTATTAAATGATTCGTTTGTACAATATGCTCCACTTGCTACACTTATTCTTTCAAAAATTGGACTACCAAAAAACCAATCTAGTAGAAGAATTATAACAATTGTATTGGCCGCATAAATTCTTGTGAAATTGATAACGACTTTTCTATCAAGAGTTTTAGTAGTATAATATGGTAAGATTTGTATCCAAAATATTAATGTAAACCAAACATATCCCACTTTTCGAACTATAAACTTCTCAAGGAATCTTACAAAGAACAATTGCGATATTTGAACATGGTGTCTCTTGAAAAGCAATGTCAATGGAATTGAAGTAATAAACGTTAAAGGATATATCCAATATACTATTCGCCATATATTAACCATTTCTTGTTCCCATATTATAAGGAGCGATCAATCCAGATTGTTAGAAAAGTTTAATCTGTCTGCATATAAGCAATGACATTTCCGTCATTTCCCGGATTTGAAGCGAGTTATGCGCATGTGGAAAATTTAGATCACGTGAAATGATCAATTTGATTATGTGCAGGTCATTGTGATAATTACAAGTTACTTACCACAGCTTGATAATGACGTTTAGTAAATACGATGTGAACCCCTTCTTATCTTCTTATCAGTTGTTATTAGTGTTCTTTCATTTTGCTGTGGATACCGGAATACATTAATGATGTTAACCAAATTGCCAAGGAGACTATCATCCACCAAATCAACAATATTCCCATCGGCAAGAAGATTTTTTTCAACCGATTCCCTTAAATTTAAACCTCCTACAGTAGCAGCAGCATCAACCAGAAATGGAGGGTCAAATCCACAATTGCGATTCCCTTGTTTGGATAAATTAGAGAAAAAGAATAGAGACTTATCATTGGGAGTTCTAAAATCAAAAGTAAGTAGTTTAGATTCTGGTCCTGAACCAGCTTATAATTTTGAACAAACTGGGTTTAAACTATATCAATCTCAAAAACCAATATTTTTAGATAATGGAGGATATTTACCAGAATATGAAATTGCATATGAAACATGGGGAGAATTAAATGAATCAAGATCAAATCTAATCTTAGTTCAAACAGGGTTATCAGCTTCTTCTCATGCAAAATCCCATCCTGAAAATAAAAAGAAAGGGTGGTGGGAAAATTTTATTGGCCCTGGGAAATATATTGATACCGATAAATATTTCGTAGTATGTACAAATGTTCTTGGTGGATGTTATGGATCTACTGGTCCATCATCAATTGACCCTTCAAATCAAGAACAATATGCTACAAGATTCCCAATTTTATCCGTTAACGATATGGTACGTGCTCAACGTGAATTAATATGGGATGAGTTCCATGTTCGCAAAATTCATGCTGCCGTAGGTGCTTCTATGGGTGGAATGCAATCTTTGGCATATGGTTGGGAATTCCCGGAAGAAGTTGAAAAAATCATTTCAATTAGTGCATGTGCAAGATCACATCCTTATTCTATTGCATTAAGACATACTCAAAGACAAGTACTAATGAGTGATCCTAATTGGAATCGTGGATTCTATTACGATGGAATTCCACCTCATGTGGGGATGAAGTTAGCACGTGAAATTGCTACGGTTACTTATAGATCAGGTCCAGAATGGGAATATCGATTTGGAAGAAAAAGAGCAGATGAATCTAGACCTCCAGCATTATGTCCAGATTTCTTGGTGGAAACTTATTTAGATCATGCTGGGGAAAAGTTTTGTCTTGAATATGATGCTAATTCATGGTTATATATTCTGAAGGCTATGGATCTATTTGATCTTGGACACGAAAGTAGAAGTAGTGCACTTTCAACAAGAGAAAGAGCAGAACAAGCATACATTGATCGACATGTCACTGGGTTTGAAAGCTCTTCTAATTTTGTACCTAGAGTTCCATACACTGAAAAGGTCAGCAGAGCGGATGTTTCTCCAGATGAGGCAATATCGGATTTAGCATTAGGGTTAAAGAGAATGGCTGATAAGGATGTGTTAGTTATAGGTGTAGAATCAGATATTTTGTTCCCAGTATGGCAACAACGAGAAGTTGCTGATGTTTTAATTAAAAATAGTGAAGGAGGAGAAGTTGAATACGTTGAATTGGGAAATGATATCAGTAACTTTGGACATGATACCTTCTTGTTAAGTTTAGATGACATTGGTAAACCAGTTAGGAAATTCTTGGATAATTAATTAAACTTCGCTATATAGTGAGTTTTATTATATTTAATGACTTTAATGTACGTTATACACAATATAATTTTACAATTCTCTAATAATACACCCTACGCAAGTCTTCCATGTTGTGGATCTAATTCATAACCCAATTTCCTACTTATTGTATACAAGTATTCTCTGAGATTTGCCACTACCACTTTGGCTAAACCATTCTTTTTCTTTCTTTCTATTGAAGCATCCAGTTCAATATGGTGAGGTAATAAATTATCATGTGCACTCAAACTTACAAATAATGCAAATGGAACGAACCAAATCAACAAACCAAAAAATGAACATACTTCCGGAAACGAAGGGATTCTAGGTGGTTCATAATCAGGTCTTAATCTGATTTCAATTGGAGGTATATATGGATAATGGAAATGGTTAAACCATAAAAAGTGATTGGCAACAACAAACACACATGAAATTAAAAATATTGGCGAAGTTAATTCAACATATGGGAATTTCTTAAGGTTTTGTAAATATACATAATATGAAAATATTGAAAAGAAGGTTAGCTTCCATGGAAATTTATCAAATATTAAAAGTAGGATGAATGTAACCATAATCCCATAGATCAATTTGGTTAAGAATCGTTTAGTTGGTTCTGTATGTTCTTCAACTAATTCTGAAATGTAATACAACCCAGAGGCAATTGAAAGCACTAGGAATATAAACCCAACGGCTATACCAACATATGAAAGCAATTGTAGAAACATGATGGGATGTAGTGGTATGAAAAGATACCTTTGAGTCTGCTGGAACCTAAATGCCTGATTTTATTTTTTTTTCTATTGACTTGTTCTTTTCCAGATCCGAGGACATTAATCAAACGCGATTGTCTTGGTACAGAGATCGAGAGATGCTACGGGGAGGATGCTTACATCCTTAAATGGTTTGCGGTATCTGGGACTTACTCAAATATTAAATATTATTAAATTATAATTCAGTTTATAAAATATAAATATGTGATAAAAATATGCTAGCAAACAAATTCACCCTTTTAATCATAAATTTCCATTGGTGGAAGCCTATCAGTATTATAAAACCAATTATTACTAATCAATTCTACGCCAAGCCATTCAGTAGGGAAATAAACCAAATTCCCATGAATCTCGTTCAACAATCTCTCTGCCGTCTTGCGATCATAAATTGCTTCTCCAGTATTGATTCTTCTTCTTGCGAGATAAGTTCCAGCCCTAGGACGTCTTCCGGGTGCTTTGGTACTGGTAGCTGCTGGTTTGTTCTGTTCCGACTTTTCACCTTGTTGCCCTTCAGTCTCTGAGGTGTCTACTTCATGGTTTGGTGACTCGTCCAGCTCTTGGACTGGAGATAATTCTGACACGTTATCTGGGATTTCTTCCCGGATAGGTTCATCAACCACACTCATATCCCCAACTTCATTCAGTGGTACTGGGAACTGACTATTTCTCCTTCCTAACCTAAGTCTCATTTTGTGTTCTGGAGGAGGAACTTCTGCAGCGTCCCTTGAGGGAGGTACTTTCCCAAGCAATCCAATATCATTGTCGGTTTCCATAGTTTCTGTTGCATCTTCAGCCTGTAAGTTGACAGCTGTTTCCACTTTAGTAAGTGCTTCTTCGTCGTCCAATAAATTATTAGCTTGTCTTAAATCTGCTTCGTAATCTTGCGCTTTCATAAATGAGCTGTGTAATTGGGTATAATGGGTGTATTCGGACCATCTACTTACCATATCGTCAGGTTGAGTGTGGAAGACCCTTCTGTAAATTTCTGTGTTCCTTCTTGCAATCTCATTCCAAAGACATTCATAGAATTCGCCGTCAATTGGATCTTCAAAAACATATGGGTCGACAAAACTACTCAATTTTACATCAGGTGAAGTAATACTTTTAATAACTTCTTTAGTTGTATTTTCGTCCAACGAAGTAACTTGGATTCCATTGAAAACTGGCATGCTTGCACCTGTCGCGTCTGACGATGTTCTTACTTCTGGTGAAACTGACTTTTGGAAGGGAAATGCAGTTTCATCACTGGCAGTTGGTGAAGAATTTGTTAATGGACTCAATCCAACTTCTTGCCTTCTTTTGTTTTCTTTTTCTGTAGCTGCTTGTTCTTTACTTGCAATTCTTTGAAGATATGAAATCTTCTTCAATAATAACCATCTCTCCCTATTTCTTTCGTTGATAATCTTCTCAGATTCTTCGTCCATTTCATCAGTCATTTCACAATCATCAGCTTCCAAAAATTCTCTAACACTTTGAATATCAGGCATAAATGAGGTTGTTGGATTTTCATCCATAGAAGTCATGGCTAATTCCCTAAGGAACTTTGCACTGTTTAATCTGGAATTCTTGGCAAGTTTACTTCTGTATTTATCGAGACCTTCACCGTAAACATCTTTCTTATGTGCAGCACTGTTTTGAACTCTATTGTCATAAGAATGCTTTTTTCTGTCACGAATACCTCTATTTGCTTCATGAGTACCAGTTCTATTATTAAGCGATACTGGTAAAAACAATGGAGGTGGTAAATCATCATCCTCTTCTTCTTCAAAAGGAACGCTTAATTTTTTATATTCAGAACCAATCATATCCATAAAATGGAACCATCTTCCTGTACCATCATGTTCTCCTAAAATATCTCTAGATGCAATTTCAACCATTGCTGATAAATACCTATTCTCAATATCCTTGAATTTGTTAGTCGCAAATAGTAAACCTTCCTTTGATCTTGCTACTTTTTCAAACCGCTTAAATCTCCTTTCCACCACATCTAATATATCCACATCAACTCCAAGATGTTCCCTCATTAACCTCATTCTTAAGGTATGTGCAAACTTACCGGCTTTGAATGGTTCTCCATTCATCATAGTATTTACCTGTTCCTTATCCTGTACAATGGCGGCAATCTCTGAATCTCTTACCCCACGCATAGACCTTTCATTAATATTTGCACTTCCAATAATTGCAGTTCTGTCATCAACAACCATTGCCTTAGCATGAATATACAATTGCTCAGTTACCAAAGTTCTATTGGTCCCAATTCTACCCCATTTTCGTAATGAGAAAAATTGAATATAATTATCAGGATCAATTCCTTTTTTCCTTAATTTGGCAAAAATTGAAGATTCACCTCTTGAAATTGACATATATTGACATTGCATAATGACACGAACGGCCGATCCTTCTGCTTCATCGACCTGGGATTGAAATCCGGGCATTAATGGAATAATAATCACTGCTTTCCAATTGGTTCCTTCTTTATGGGCTCTGATAATTCTGTCAACTAATGCATCACCGATTCTATTCCTAATTTCAATTCCTTCAATAAAACAAGACGTAACGAAGAATTGATTTTCTATATATACGAAATGTTGTGAGCTTTCGATTAATTTAATATAGGCATTTTGGATACTTTGTTCATGTTGTTTCAACCCCAATGACCAATTTCCACTCGATCTTAATAATTGAATTTCACAAGTTCCATCTAATCCAAATTTCCTAGTTTCTTCATCAGTAAGATCAGATGGCGGCGTTAATAAAGGTGTAAATCTACTTGGACGTTTCTGTCTTAACAAATAATTCCATCTTTGAACAAAATGTCTGGATAAATCTCTGGCAACTTTTCCTGATGTGAACATATGGATATCATGCCATGGCATTCTTGGTGTAGTATTTCTATCATACAATGTCTGATAAGGTTTCTCCAAATTAGAGAAATCTCTGACTCTTGGGTTAGAATAATCTTTCCCTGGGAAAGTTTGGAAATTAATTAATTCGTCACGTGTAGGTCTATCACCTGGTCTAAGGCTATCAAAATCGATTTTTGAATCATCTGTCAATACATGATCTGGTGTATCATATCTACCATAGCACATATCAATACCTCCCATGAATGCAATCGTGTTATCAATAATACATAATTTTTCATGATGAGCCCAGAAGTAAGTGTTTTGAAGCAATTGATTTGGAGATCTGATAACATGAATATTGTCTTCATTTAATGATAAAATTGAATGCTTTGTGTATAATGAATCAATAGAAACAGTTGAACCCACATTACGATAAACAATAACAAAGATTTTCACCCCTTGTTGAGCTTTTCTCTGTAATATTCTATCAAGTCTCCATTGTTGATTACCATTTGCTGGACGTCTTAAATAAATTTCGGGTGTGAGCCACCAATCATGAATATAAATCACATCCTTAGCCATTTCTAATGCAGAAGAGACTGACCAAAAATAATCACGACCATCAACATACCATTGTGCAAAACAATTTTCTCTCACTGGTGCAAATGATTCAAATCTATGCTTTTCAGACCAGACAGTAGAGTTCTTCATCGACATGAGTGATTCAATCCATACTCTATGATCATTTGACGATTTAGGATTTATTGCTAATTTCCTTTCTCCATTCTCCAATGTGATTTTCAAATGAGGAAAGAAGGCATTTGTTTCGCTCAAAACCTTCTCACGAGCTAATGATGATTCATCAAAGGAAAATTCTTCATCATTAACGTCTTCATTGTGTTTATAAGTGATTTTGAAATCGGAATCCACTAAGAAAACATCCAATGGGATTGTTGAATTGAAATCGGAGACATACATCACATAAGAATCTCTAATCAACATCCATTTTTCAGAACGTCTATCAATGATCCCTTTCAATCCATCAGCATTGAAATATCCAACACGCCAACCCAGCGATTTACTTGATGAGGTTATATGTACCTGACCTTGTTTTCCAATATATCCAGATTCATAACTTAATAATGATGATATTGGAGAAATCTCAAAAAACATGAATAGACGATTAGATTCAGGTTTCAATGATATTTGTTCAATTAATTCATTCAAATATCTCTCAACATCGTGAATATATTGTGCATTCTTATGTTTCCTTCTAACTTCAATAACCTCAGGTGTATCTTCATCTGATGAAACTGATGAAATAGACAAATGCAGTCTTGCTCTACGTAGTACCGCTCTGAATGTGTTCATTGAATGTAGTGAACTATTATCTTCGACAGAAGCAGCTTCATGTGTCGGCAGGGTATGTTGTTGTCGATGATTGCTTACTGGTTTGTTTCTCCTTGTTCTGTTGGATTCCTTTCTAAGGGGCGGAATGGGAAACTTGGGAGGTTTTTGAATTTTACCTCCAACTACTTCTTTTGCCCAACGCTCAAGATTAAACTTATAATGTAAATAAAATAAATCTTTGGCATTTCTCTCAATGGACCATTTCATTCTTTGGGGACCTACACCATATTCCAAGTCAATTCGAAATCTTCGGATTCTAGTTTGATCATTCAAGGAAATGTCAGTCACTTTCAATCCTAGTAAAGATAATAATAATGGAGCTCTTGCTATTCCTTTTTCATCTTCTAATAAACACGATGCCATTAATCCAATAGCAGGGCCACCCAAGGCAAGACCAACAATCAATTTTTGAGCTCTTTCTCCTGCTTGTCTCTCCCCTTCTTCTCTTAATTCTTCGAGCTCTCCTAATGCTATACTTGTTCTTCTTCTTTCCTTTGGTCTTCTTCTCGTAAGTCTCAGTAATCTCATTTTGAGCTTCTGTTGGGTAGATAATTCAGTAGTTGGATGAAAAAGGTCATTCATTTCATAGGCATTTGGATGTAATGAATCCTGTTGAGTCTGTGGACGTGCACTGAATCTATGTGGTAAGAAGTTTCCTAAGTTAGCCAAAGTTTGTGAATGTTGAAATGGAATCCTTGTATCCTTGTCTTTGGCCTTGTCCTTATGATCTTTATCTTTAACTTTATTCTTCTCTTGTTCATCCAATGGATCCACTCCATCTAGATCGTTACTTGACACTCCGTTGGACTTAGCTTGCATTGGATTGAAAAGCTTTTTGGCTTCTTCCTCCTCTTGTTCTGATTCAAATCTCATTTCCTTCGTGTCGTCATTCCGATTGAAAAATGATAAAGGATTAGATATAATTTTTGGTGATTCTAACAGAAAGGATTTTGACATCTTGTGTAATTTTGTGGGAGTTGGTCGTATACTAGACTCTTGTGAAATAGTTCTATAAATTTGATCGACATCAGGTTGTTCTCTTAATGGACTAGGTGGTCTTTGATCAGATTCATTTTCATTTTTGTTATTCTCAGGTCGGGAACCATTCAATGTATTATTGGGGTTATCATTAGAATGTTCTGTTGAATTGTTAAGGCCTTCTTGAAATATTTTAGGTAAATGAATCTTAAAGTTGGACACTCCATTTAGTGTAGTTTCCCCTATTACTTCGGTGTTGCCAATTGTTTCTGGCATAGTAAAAAGCTAAAGAAAATGAATATGAAACGATTTGGGTTAAGTAGTCTGTTGATGATTCAAAACTATTAATGGCTTCTTTATACCTGAATGAATGAGCTTCTTTAAAATTAGCGAAGAATTACAGTGATTTTGAAAATTGGTTGTAAAAACAAGAATCGTCTAAATAATTTACAAAACATAGCCAAATAGAAAAACTGATTCAAATTCTTACAACCACAATCAGAAGAAAAAAAAATCAGAGGACAGTTAGTCTCGTATAATGTACAAAATAAAATCAAGTCATTTGATGTCGTATGAAGTATGAACATATACTATAAAGTTATAAATGACAGAAACTTTAAACGTGTGTCATACAACGTGTCAATTAAAATTTACATAATGACTATTAAACTTAATAAATAAAAAATAGTTCATTTAAGGAGATTTGTATCTAATCTTACTTTATGACCAAGCCACAAGGCAAATTTAGTATGATCAAGTAAATCACCTTTACCACTTCTTGGATGAATTAATACTGATAAATCTCCATGATTTAATTGGAAATAAGGAACAATTCTTTTAAAAATTTCTGGACTTTTAAAATCTAATTCCCACATATTAATTGGATGAGGTCCAATTGGTTTATCCCAAAATTTATAAACTCTTATATCACCATTAGCAATTTCTCTAGCAAAATCTTTTAATACTTGTTCTCGTAATTCAAAAGCAAATTTACGTTCAGTTTCATTGTTATTGTTCCAATAGGTATGAATATCATATGACTTGATATCACCATAGAATGAGTCTGGTTGTGCTTCTGATGACATTGATAATTTATTGATTGTTGTTAGGCAATGAGGCAATTCTTTTCTGTAGAAAGAACCGTGGGGAAAGAATATTGCCGTTGTTAAACTTTGACCTGACCTTTATATAAAATTGCCATTCCCATTCGCATTCTTCTTCTCCCCACCAGAGAAACAAAACTTAATTTGTAAGCAATTAGCAAAGAACCACTCAATTACAAATCTTGAAGTGGAATTAGATTCTTTCCTTCTTCCTGGTCATCCAGAAGGATTGGTTGATTATCTAATGTTGATATACTTTGCCCTTCAATATGGTCGATTTGTCGACGTCTTTGTTTTTCTTGTCTCATTTTACTAATTCTCCAATTATGAACAATACAAGCAATTAATAATCCTATTGAGCTACCACATACATTATACAATATATCAAAGATATCAAATATTCTTTGAGAATTTATTAAATGTTGTATCAATTCCAGTCCAATACTTGCTCCACATGTACATATTACAAAGGTAATAATTCTAATTAGTTTCTTGTTCTTAGTGTCAAATACAAAGTAAAATTCAATTGTCAATATAAGAAAAGTAGTAAAATGTATTACCTTGTCATACTCTAAATGGATCAGAGCAAATCCCAAATATCCTGCTCCAATTAATGACAAGATGAAAACTGCACATTTTTCTCAATGTTAGTATTTACTTGATCTATATGTTCGACCAATGGAGGGTAAGAACGTACCTATTAGTACTGGAAGCCTTATTGGTAACATCGCATAGTATCTACTTAGTGATATTAAATTCACTTGTTTTACACGTTGTGAAAAAATGAAATATGGTCTTGCTAGAAAGGTGCTCACGGTATCTTTGTTCCAGAAAAGAAGATTTTCTGATCCCCGATGGATCACCAAATTATACTGAGTTCTACAACAATGCTACCGACCACAGTCACAACATGTTCGAAGTTGCTTATATCTAAGCGAAGTATCAACTACTTGGTTTCGGCACTTCCTAAGCCCGAGCAAATAGAACAAGACAAACCAAAACGAAGAATAAAGAAACCTGTCGTCAAACGACTTAAGCTTAATGATTTTATGAAACAGATCATTAAACCAGATGAACTAAACAAGATTTTTCAAGGCTCAGATTATGCTCCTTTCACGGGTAGTCAAGCGAAGAAGGCTCAAGATTTCTTCAATTTGAACAAGCCTCAACTTGAATGGACCCTTGCTGAATATGAAGAAATTCCGGATGTGAAATATGCTCGTCTTGTGAAAGAACGAAAAGAAAGCTACGATAGAATGGATCCAATTAATAAAACTGATTATCAGAAGTCTTTAATGATGTCTAAAAAGACTTTTGGTATCCCTGGTCTATATTTGAAACCGTTTCCGGAGGTGCTATTTTTAGGTCATACTAATGTAGGTAAATCATCGTTGATAAATAGTTTAGTGACTCGTGGGAAAAGTGAAAAAGTTACCGATGTAGCATATGTGTCATCTCGTGCTGGGTTTACAAAAACTTTGAACTGTTTTAATATTGGCAATAAGCTCAGGCTTATGGATAGTCCAGGGTATGGGAAATTTGGGGATATACAACAAGGAGAAATGGTTACGGATTATATTTCTAGAAGACATTTACTAAAGAGAGTGTTTTTATTGATAGATTCAGTGGAAGGATTTAGACATGAAGACTTAACTATTCTTAACCATTTAGTTGAGGAAGGTGTTCAATTTGATATTGTGTTTACAAAGACGGATGTGGTAATTGAGAAGCATATGCCTCCCAAAAAGAAGTTTACAACAGTAGCATCCAGAGAAGAAGACGAGAAGTTACTTGCATCGATTAAGAATGGAAATGAAAAGGTGATCGCTCATTACAATGAAATAATCAATGGAACGGTGCTTGGTCTGATGACCCTTTTTTCACGATTTCTCTTCACTAATGCAGGTACTAACAAACATATTGTTCAAGAATACGGCAAAAAGGAATTACGATGCGTAGTTCTTGAAACTTGTGCATTACTTTAAACTTGTAAATAGATCTTTTATAAAATGACATTGAAATAGACGCAAAAGAAAACTCTCAAAAATTATATAAATATGGTACAAAATTTGTCTAGAAACGACCTCCTCTAGAACCTCCTCTAGAACCTCCTCTTCCACCAAATCCACCTCTGGAACCTCCTCTTGAACCTCCACGGCCACCTCTATCACTGAATCCACCTCTACCTCCACCTCTACCTCCAAAGCCTCCTCTGCTTCCACCTCTACCACCTCCGAAACCACCACGGCCTCCACCTCTTCCACCAAAACTACCTCCACGGCCACCTCTTGGGGCACCTCCAGCAGACTTTCTCTTTGGTTTAGGTCCGTAACTTGCTGGCTTAGGTAAGAATCTTTCCAATGGTAATAACTTATCAGGTCCAATGAAAAATTTATCTCCTTCCTTAAATGAATCAGCTTTAATTCCTTCAGATGGTTTAATTGTGAAAAACACTTCATTTAAAGGACCTAAAATTTCATCAACTTTCCCAACTTGGGATTTATTTTCTAAATAAATTGGGGCATTGAAATATGGTATCTTAACATTAATGGAACGACAAACAATATCTCCTTCACAAGCATGCATAAATGACCCCATCTCTAAAACAGTATCTGGGGGACCTTGTTGTAATGGGGGACCGGTTCTTCCACCACGGCCACCTCTGAATCCTCCTCTTCCTCTATTCATTGTTTAGTTTAAATTGTATTTGGAATATATTATAAAAGGGGAAGATGTTGAATTCTTTTCCTTTAATTGTATTGAATTCAATTAGCGATGGGGGAAAGAAAATTTTGAAAAAAAAAATGCTACAGAGGTCATCGGTAAGAAGGAGACATTTCTGCAGTTACGACATTTCTCAAACGACATATTCTGTATTGTTTAGGTATGGGAGTGTTATGTATATGTTTCACCCTATTCTACGGTTCTGCAAGCAACAAATTTCTCTCTCGTGGTCTCCTTAGGAGATACTAATGTTGAGAAGAGACTTTTACTTTGAAATTGTTTTGAAAATTGCTGTATTAAACTCTTTGAGGTTCTACCATAATAAAAGAATAGGGGTCGTGTTAAGATTTCAAAAAGTTGTCCAATTTAATCCGCTCGTTTCCGTTTTTAATCAGCCAGATCAACAACAAGACCACCAACTTTCAAATCTAACCAACTTCATATTCAAAACCCTTTATACAATTGAGTCATGAGTGTCACACTGGGTATGTTATTCAATTCTTTGGTTACCAGAATATTGATTCACTTTTTTTAATTGATTATTAATACTAACCTAACCTTCCAGAAACACCTACTTTCAAAGTGGGTCTTACCCCAGAGGAGAAGATGTTATATACCCAATTATTCAGATCCTTGGATCCCGACAATACAGGAGTCATTACTGGTGAAAAATCAAGATCTACATTTGAAAAATCCGGATTACCTCCAGCAATTTTAGGTGAGATTTGGCAAATTGCTGATCCAAACAATTTGGGGTTCTTATCTCAATTTGGATTTTGCTATGCAATGAGATTGATTGGTTATATACAAGCAGGTCAACGTCCTGTTCCTGGTTTGGGTGATGTTCCTGGTCCTCTCCCGAAATTTGCAAATTTGAATCTTCAATTACAACCTCAATCCACTAATAGTTCTTTCATGTCAACACAGCCTACTTCTATCATTCCACAAGACCCAATTACCCCAGTCAGCCCAACCGATTTCCAAAAATTCTCTCAATTATTTGAAAAAACAGTTGGATCAGTTGAAGGTAATTTAGCTGGACCTCAAGCTAGAGATATATTTTTGAAAGCAAAGTTGCCAACACCAGTTTTGGGACAAATTTGGGCATTGGTAGATAGATATAATACCGGACAGTTGAATGTTGGAAGTTTTGCAATTGCCATGCATTTAATTCAAGGTTTATTAAGCGGACAAATCAAACAATTACCTGTTGCCTTACCTGAATCTGTTTGGCAGTCTGTTGAGCCTTCAAGTTTGGCACATACTCCTCAAATGCGTCAGGCTTCCCTTGGATCTATTAATTCCCAGCAGACTGCTATAAGACATCCATCCATTAGAAATGCTCCAGCTACTGACAATGAATGGAATGTGTCTCCAGCTATGAAACAACAATATGATTCAATTTTCAATAATCTTGATAAAGATAATGTTGGTCATTTAAATCCAGATCAAGTTGCAAACTTTTTAATGACATCTAATTTAAATCAACAAGATTTGGCAACAATTTGGGATTTATCTGATATTCAAAATACTGGTATATTTACAAAGTTGGAATTTTCAATTGCTTTATTTTTAGTCAACAAGAAATTAGCTGGTGACAAATTACCCAATATAGTTCCAGATGCATTACTCAGTTCTTTAAAGAGTCAAGTTCCAGCGCAACAACAAATTCCATCTCAGTCAGTTCCTGTTCCACCAGCAACACAAAATTTTTCCCAACCACGTGTTCAAGCTACATCTGAACCTGTCATTGTTACTCAAGCTCAGGTTCCAAAGTCATCTTTAGATGACTTGGCAGATATATTTGGCTCTGTCCCAAAACCCAACCCTGCTGCTGCTGCAGCTTCTTCGGCTTCTCCACAACCGGTTCTTCAGCAAAGGGCTTCTAGTTCAGATTTAAGTAGACCTATAGAACCACCAAAGGTTCGTTCCACTTTAACTGGATCTTTCAGACCAACGTCCCAGTTTGGCCAATCATTATTAGAAAAAAATAAAGCGTCCACTCCTACAGAAGAAAATCATCAAGAGAGTCTCTTGTTGGAAGATGCAACGTCTCCTGCCCCAGGTCCTGAATCGGCATCAATGTCGCCACAAGTCACTGCTTCAAGAGATCAAAAGGTTGTGAATTATGATGCATTGAGAAATGTTCCACCTCCACCCAAAAAGGCAGCTACTCCAATTCCGAAATCTCTCACTCCGGGATTTGTACCTCCATCTGTTAGTAATGAAGTTGTTGCTGCTCCACCACCACCACAAACTGCAAACACTAATGAAGATTTATTAGCTGATCCTGCTATTTCTGGACAATTATCACAAGCCACTACAGATATTGCCAATGTATCTAACCAAATCAAATCACTTGCTACTCAAACAACAAACTTACATGAAAAGAAAACTAGAGCCGAACAAGAACTTGCAAGAATTTTATCAGTTAAGGTTGAAATTGATAACAAGTTGAAACAATTTAGAGTCTCTTATGAAAATGAAGTGAAACAAGTTGAGCAAGTTGAAGCAAGTTTGGCAGCTGCTAAGGAAGGGACTGAAGCTTTGAGATCAGAAGCATCAATTGCTGAAGCGAAATTGAACTCATTAACTACTGAATTTAATGAAAAGCAATTACAATTAGAGGAATTACAAAAAGAAAACGGATCCTTAAAGGAAAAGTTAGGAACCTTGAATGCTGAGATTGCAGAACTTGAAAACCAAACTGCATCAAAACAATCGGAATATCAAGGATTATCAAATCAAGTCTCAGTTAAGAAATCACAAGTGCAAGTTGCTATTGTTAAGGTTGAAGAATTGAAGAATAAAGTTATTGAAATTGAAAACTCCAATAAACAGTTACAGCTTGATTTAGACAATGCTGAAAGGGAAAGATTGGCTGCCGAAAGGGAACAAAGAGATTTGGAGGAAAAAGCAAGAGAGCTTGAACTTAAGAAGCCAACTGCACCTAGTCCAGGAATAGCTTTACCGGCTTCTGCTGCCGCTGCTGCTGGTGTTGGTATTGGTGCTCTTGCTGGAGCTGCAATTGGTGGCATTGTTGCAACTGAAACAGGTGATGATCATACAATTACTGAACAACAAGAACAAAATGAATCAGGAAATGAAGTTCAATCTCGTGAAATTCCTGACGTTGAAGCTGGAAGTGTGGCAGATGTTGAAGATGTAAACAAAAGATTCCCAGACTTGGGTGTTAATGAACCAGCAGATAATTTCACAAATGCAACTTCTTCTGTAGCTACTGACAATGTGGATGAAAATGAAACCCCAATTACTTCCCCAAGTAATTCAGAATTCCAATATCCTCAAGGAGCTAATGTTGGTATTGCTGGTGGTATGGTTGGTATGCCAGGTGTATTGGTAGGTGTTCAAAGGACCGATTCATTAACTTCAAGTGTACAAAATAATGCTGCGTTGTCTGTTAGAGATGACAATCTTGATGAAATCAGTGACCGTGATACTCTTAGTAATGCTGCTGAAGAAACCCTTCCAAACACTGCAGGTACCGAAAACTTTGATAGTGAAAGAAGTGGAGATATGGGAAGTGGAAAAGAATCATCTGGAATCGAATCATTTGAAATGGTAAACTCTGAAGATGTAAACTCTCCAAATGGTGCTAATGAAGAATTCCCTCCAATTCGAGAACTTGAAATTCAAGAAAGTGATTCGTCGGATGAAGAAACCGAAGCAATGGTGGATGCTCTTCCTGAACCAAACATTGATGAAGAAGAAAAGTCAGTTGAAGAGCCGCACGTTGCTACTGAAGAGCTGCCAATTATGAAACCTAGTTTTGATGATTTTGATAGTGCTTTTGACAATTTGCAGCCAGCAACACCAGAAGTCAATCAACAAGATTTATTTGCTGATGAATTCAATGATTTAGAAGATGCACAAGAAGATAATCAAGCAGATGAGTTTGGAGATGAAGAATTTGGTGGTCTCTCAAATGAATTTTCTAATTCTAATGCCCCAGACTTTTCCGCGGCTAATACTGCTTCAACGCCGGAAGGAAACGATGAATGGGAACAGTTATTTGCCGGTTTCGGAAATGCCCAACCTGAAACTGGTATTCCTGTACCTGCTGAACAAGAAAGTCAACAAAATAATAGTAACAACGGAAGTAATAAATATGCCATTCAAGAATTAGTTGGAATGGGTTTCGATGAAGAGACTGCTATTGGTGCATTGACGAAAGAAAATTGGAATTTAGAAGCTGCAACGAATTATTTGTTAGATAATGCATGATGTCCGTTGATAAGTTAATTTTAAATTAAGTTTTTGTTTTAGTTTTATATTGTATTCTTTCATTTTTTTTTAGTTTAAAAAAATACAAATGATGTAAATTGTTAATTTATTTACACAAGCAATTAAGCATTGTCAGATCAACTGATGTTATTTCTTGATTTGATTCCACAGTTAGGAAATCTCTTGTTTTCTTGTACAAAACTGTGGTGGCTCCAACTTTGTGATACTAGAAAGCGGATTTTTTCCTGTAGATGGCACGTGACTGGTTGCAAAATTGACAACGGAATTACCAAGATTGGCACGCAATTGTCAAAACTATGGCTGCTAATGTTCGGGATAATCCCGACGTTTAATGGTGACCCTTTTCGAAACCACCACCAAATTAAAATAGTATTTAAATAGAATGAAATATCCCCTTTTACATCTGTCTGTCTTTCCTAGTTTTTCTTCATCATTCTAGAAACACTATTCTTAGATAACCTTGCAAATACACACACAACAATAAAAAATGAATCAAACTTTTGGTAACTCCGATATTCACTACAATAAGGATTTTGATGAAGTCGATGCTGATGGTGTCTTGGTCATTAACAAGAAGAACAGAGACCAAGCTAGATATCCAGAATTCTTACCTACTTGGGATCCATCCCAAAAGCTTCCACCTTTGAAGTTTCAAAAACATGATGATCCAGCACTCAGAGCTGACCCAAGCTTCCCAAACTTATTCCCTAAAGATAAAGATATTACTATCAAAAAAGTAACTCCTAAATTTGGTACTGAAGTTGATGGTGTTCAATTATCGCAATTAACTGATAAGGGTAAAGATGAATTAGCTTTATTGCTTGCACAAAGAAAAGTTTTGGTTTTCAACGATCAAGACTTTGCTGATAAAGGTCCAGGATTTGTTACTGAATTCGGTAAATATTTTGGTAACTTACACATTCATCCATCTTCTGGTGCTCCAAAGGGTCATCCAGAATTACATATCACCTATAGAAGACCACAAGAAGGTGAATTAAAGAAAATTTTCGCTCACAAGACTACCAATGTTGGTTTCCATTCTGATGTTTCTTATGAAATCACTCCATCTAAATTCACTATTTTCCAAGTTCTTGAATCTGGTGAAGGTGGTGACACTGTCTTTGCTGATACTGTCGAAGCTTATAAGAGATTATCTCCAGCTTTCCAAAAGAGATTAGAAGGTTTACATGTTTTACATACTTCTGAAGATCAAGCTGCTAACTCAACCCTCCAAGGTGGTGTTGAAAGAAGAAAAGCTGTTTCTAATATCCATCCATTAGTGAGACTCGATCCAGTAACTGGTGAAAAGAGTCTTTTTATTAACAAAGCTTTCGGTCGTAGAATTGTTGAACTCAAGAAAGAAGAATCTGATTTCTTATTAGATTTCTTACATAACCATATTGTCACTGCTCATGATTTACAATTAAGAGTTTCTTGGGAAGGTGGTAACAGAAAGAAAGTTGCTTTCTTCCATAATAGTGGTGTTTCTCATACTGCTATTTTCGATACTGAAGATGGTTTTGTTAGACATGCTTACAGAGTTTCCGTTCTTGGTGAACGTCCGATTCTGGATATCAAAGATTATAACAAGGAAGAGTACACTCCTGGTGATGTGCAAGCTGCTTTGGGTTCAATCAAGCCAACCTAAGTAATTTAGATATTTATTTGTTTCTGTTGTTAAATAGTTTTAGATTTTATTATTCGTGTTCTTAAAATATTATATTGTGGATATTATGGTTTTCAAAAAGACTTGGTTCTGTAAATTGACTTTCTTATTTTTCATCTTCTCCCCTAAGAGCAATTGCTAGGACTATATATCTATGCCTAAGGTATGATTAGCTATTAAAAAAATATTTACCTTTTTGACCTTGTTCTAATTTTGTGTCATTATTCCAGTTAAAGGAATACGCTAAACACTATTGACTTTTATAAAATGAAAGACTGCTTTAAGAAGCTAGTATTTGTAAACCCTTTATATAAAATCCTGGATATTGGATTGCTACTTTTGTTGTCTCTCTTTAATGGTTCTCCAGGGTTATTGAATTTATCATCAAATTTGTATGAAAATTTTAAAGAAACCCAAAGAATGCCCAACAATTATTTTTATTTTGAGGCGAACTGTTCACATTAGGTATAATTCTCCCTTCGCCACCAGACAACCTTATGAGAAGGGTTACGCCTTAGTTTATAAAGCTTTCATAAGAAAAGTAAGAGAGATTTGAGTGAGTGGGAGGGGGGGAATTTGATCCCGCACTTTCCCCAGGTCTCCTCTCCCGTAGTAGGGGTAAAACCTTATTTCCTGATTTAGAAGTCGTATGCGAGTAATGTCTTTACAACAAAAGACCTTCGAGACGCAATCTGTTCTATGTTCACGAGTTTTCGCCAATAGAAGAGAACAATAGAAGGAAGAAACTGATGCATCAATGAACAATAACGGAAATCCGCTTATGCAGAAAGTAACTCCAGCCGCGCCTCACTCTAGAAAAATCTCCCGGAAATTAAGAGAAATAGAAGAATAATCTAAAATGATTGCCAATTTAAATCTTTAATTTAAAGTTCACTAATTATAGATGGGGAGAAATCTCTCGCTAATACCCCTCCCCATCCAACACCAAGACTATACCACAAGAGCAATATAAAAGAAGATGTGGTTCCTCCGCTTTATCTTGAATCTTCAATAGACTTACAAAGCAGTAAATAGCAAATACAAATACAAACATGTCATCAGGTGAACATAGTACATCTGATATAGAGAAACACCCAATTACTTCTACCTCAGATATTGAGATCATTCCAGGTACTGTCCAATTGATTGATATTACCGGAGGATTACATGTCAAAAAGAATGATTTAAATGATAATGTCATCTTATTACCTCAACCCTCAAACAACATCAATGATCCATTAAGATGGAGTAGATTAAAGAAACATTTTCAATTCTTTTTGGTTTGGATTTGGTGTTTTATGTTTGCAGTAACAACAAATTTCTACGGTCCATTATTTGGAATATTCATGGATGAATTAGGTGTCACTTTGAATGAATTGACTATTAGTGTTGCACTTTGCTTTTTATTTCTTGGTGTTGGATGTTTACTTATTCAACCTACGGCATTAAAATTGGGTAAAAGATTCGTATATTTGTCATGTACGATTATTGGTATTATTGGATGCGCGCTCGGATCAAGAGCGAATTCAATTGGATCGATTTATTTATTTCAAGCATTTGGAGGATTTGCTGCTGCCCCTGTTGATACATTAGCGGAAATCACCGCTACTGATATTTATTTCCAACATCAAAGATCGACTGCTTTTTCTTTGGTCATTCTTTCCCTTTATGCTGGGAGTTATTTGGGTCCAGTAGCTGCTGGATATGTTGTTGACGCATTAGGTTGGAGATGGTGTTATTATATTCAAATTATCATTTATGTTGCATTATTTATCTTTTTGGCATTTACGATGGAAAACACTTCTTTTAGACGTGATCATGCTGCAGAAGAAGAATTCGAGGAAGAAGTCATCAAAGCAGTAAAATCAAAGGAATTAGACGTCGTTACCCTGATATTGGAAGTTGGGGCAGCAGGAGGAGATGAAGATAGTGATGAGAATTCAATCGACGAATCTATTCCCAAGAAAGCTTACAAAGAACGTATGAAACTCATTCAAACTGACAGCAATGATGTAAGATCCTGGTTCTTGATCTTCTCAAGACCATTCTTGTTATATTCCTTCCCAGCGGTAGTTTGGGGTGGATTAGTCTATGGGGCTCAAATGATGTGGTTATCTTTAATCGGTAACACCCAATCAATAATCTATGGTGAACCACCTTATAATTTCTCAGCCAATGGAGTTGGATTAACGAACTTGGGTGCATTTGGAGGAAGTGTAATCGGGATGGTTTGTGGAGGTTATGTCGTTGATCATTCTTCAATTTGGTTGGCAAGAAGGAACAATGGTATTTTGGAGCCTGAATTCAGATTATATTCTATGATAATCCCTACAATTACTAATGCTGGTGGATTGTTGGCATATGGATTAGGATCTTATTATGAAGCACATTGGGCTATATCTGTTGTTATCGGACAAGGACTTTTGGGTGTTGCCATGGGCGCTTCTGGGGCTATATGTTTAACTTAAGCGGTTGATTGTTATCATAACCTTGCTAGTGAGAGTATTGTTTTTATTCTTTTTGTAAGAAATATGATTGGTATGATTTTCTGTTTTGTATTTGAAGATTGGTTGGAAGGATGTGGACTTAGTTTGACTACTTGGCTTATGTTTATGTTATCAATTCTTATTAATGGTAGTTTTATTGTGTTTATCAAATGGGGTAAGACTTTCCGTAGAATGACTATGGCAGCGTATGCTAAGTATTCTGATCCATCCTATGGTGAGATATTTAAAAAGAAGTCTTAATGAGAATTATGTATTATACTAGTAGCATATTTATTTGTTTAGTTTAGTTAATATTAATGAAAATCTGCAAGCTATAATTAAATTCCATAGGCACCTTGGGCAGTAAGGCATCTACAAGAAATAGCTCTTATTTTTATTGAACACAGAATACATGGTTGTAGAAATGAAATGCGTGAAACATTACTGACAACTATTACTGTTTTATGATTCAATAGAATATACAGTATACAAACTGGCTACTGTAAAGTAACGAAATAGAACTCGTGCTAAAAACGGTTTGAATATTCTTGCTGGGCTTATTCAATGGCTCAATACATTAAGTTATAAATTATATAAAGGGTTTGAGAGAGACACTGACAAGAGGATGAGAAAAGTAATCCGTATTACTGGTTGCCGATGAGCTAACACATACGACACAATCAACTCACAATACTTAAACGCAGCCTATCGCGCATTCAGTACTTGTTGTACGACTTAAACACTGTGGTTATAGCCACTCAAGTACAAAGTAACCTTGGCGTCCCTATGACGGGGAGCTTCATATCCCCTAGTAATTCCATATGTACTGTAGTTATCGTAGGAATTCCAAAGCTTTAGTAAACAGTTTAGTCTGGTCAATCTCTGTTTCATTACACCTAAGTTCCTATAATATGCACACTGCCGTAGCATAGCCTGCATCCTGTATTGAATTAACTGCAGTTCTATGAGAAGTCATAACATTCCCACTTTTAGCTTTTTCGTTTATACTTGCTTGAATAAATCAATTCTGGTCTTTGAGCTATTTTCCTCGCTTAGATTATAGCCTTTATTCAGAGTAAAAACGCGAGAGCAAAGAATACTTCTCCTTAGTGGAATATTCCCATTTAGCCTAAATTCGGGAACTGCGTGATATGATGTGACTCATTTTTCCCAAAAATGAACACCTTATATTAAATCACTACTACAGTTTCGATTATTGAAATGCCATATGTGGATAAAAGGAGTCGTTAATTGATTTTATAAGTAGCAATTAGTAAGATTTAACAATATCATCATAACTAACATTCAATTGAATTAATTTATTACCAATACCACTATTAATTTTTAATTTATTATTATCATTAATGGCAATACAACTTGAGCTTTCTAATGCTTTAATAATTTCAATAAATTCACCATTTTTAAGCACACCAATTAATGAATTTATATGATCTTGTTTTCAATAATAATCATAAAATAAATTAACAGGTTGGTATGCCAGGTGTATTGGTAGGACCGATTCATTAACTTCGAGTGTACAAAATAATGCTGCTTTGTCTGTTAGAGATGATAATCTTGATGAAATCAGTGACCGTGATACTCTTAGTAATACTGCTGAAGAAACCCTTCCAAACACTGTTGGTACCGAAAACTTTGATAGTGAAAGAAGTGGAGATATGGGAAGTGGAAAAGAATCATCTGGAATTGAATCATTTGAAATGGTAAACTCTGAAGATAATACAATTATGTAAAATTGTTAAATCATTTACACAAGAAATTTAAGCATTGTTAGATCAACTGATGTTAAATTGATCGTTATTTCTTGATTTGATTCCACAGTAATCTCTTGTTTTCTTGAACACAACTGCGGTGGCTCTAATTTTGTGATACTAGAAACCGGAATTTTTCCTGTTGAGAGCACGTGACTGGTTGCAAAATTGACAACGGAATTACCAAGATTGGCACGCAATTGT